ACGCCGGCATCTCGGGAGCGTCTCCGAGCCGCGGCCGGGCAAGGGCAGGGGAGTGGGATGGATGGTTTTCCTCCAGGGGCAGCCGAGGGATGCCAGCCCCCTGCGGATGTGCCGATCCGGGGCTGGAGAGGGCCATGGGGTTTGGGTGGCACCTTCGAGTGGGGTGGTTGAAGGAGGCAGCTCCCCGATTCTTCCCCGAGCTCCTCGAGATCTTCCCTCGCCAGATGTAGCGCCGAGATTTCTTGGTCCTCCCAGCATCTGCTCTTCTCCAGGACCTCCTGAGCATCCTGAGCAGGGGAGAGGGAAAGCTCTGGGCTGGAAAAACCTGGAGGAAGAGTTTAACTTGACTCCAGACTTGCATCTTCATCAGTTTTTCCATCTCCCACCTTGCAGAGCAGAGCCGGGAGACAGGCATTGCCTGCAGGCACAGGCCCTTGGCTCCCAGCCTTGCCATGCCAGGGAAAGGTACCCGGCCTGGGTGCTCCCATGCTCGAGGAGGCAGATGCTGCTGCAAGAGGAGCCTGCCTTGGATTTCCAGCAGCCCTCTGCATTCCCAGCCTGCTCGTTTTTCCCAGAGCCTGGAGAAACCCCCAGGATCAGTAGCTCCGAGTGGTTCAGCCAGGCCCCCGTGTCCATCTCGCATGCATGCAGTTTGCTCTGCCCACAGATACGAAGCACGCAGTTGGGAAGCCTTCGGCTCTCCCTCCCTTTTCCCTTCCCCTCCCCACTGGAATCCGGCTTTCGGGATCAAAAATACTACTGGCTATTTTTAAAGCATCGACTTAGCCCCCTCTCCTCCAGCTCGCGGTGACGGATCGGGCTGTCGTAAAGTTCAGCTGTTTTCTGCTCCCTCCGCACGGAGCCCGGGGCGTTAACAGCCGTGATTCCCTCCTCGCTCCTGCCCGGAGCCAAACCCACACCAGGGACCAGGATTCGTGTCCGGAGGGTCTGGGGGCATTTGGTAGCCCATCCTGTAGCCGGTTGGAGCGGCATTTGCTGGGGTAAGTGGAGCGCTGGGATCCTCAGCAGAGGTTTGGGGAGGGAGGGATGGGGGCTTTATGCCAAGCACGGTGTGGAATGAAGGGTGGATGCTTTGGGTTGGAGCAGGCACTGTGCAGATGGCCTGTCCACTGCTGTGGCTGTACCTGGAGAGAAGCGAAATCCCTTCTTCCAGCTCTCCAGCCTTCCCCAGGATCCTCTTCTGACTCCGATCCCAACCCTGCGGCTCGGCTCGGCTCTCCCCTGCAGCTCCCAGGGGATGCTGGCTGCTGTGCCGTGGTCGAGGGAGCACAGGGATGATGCTCACAGCTTGGCCTCCGACCTCAGGAGCCTGGCTGATCCCACTTGCCCAGGGACGCTCAGGAAAGGCTGGCAGAGCTCTCCCTGACGGGGGCTTAACCAAGCCACGCTCAGGACCGGCGTGGACGTGCCCTGCACAAGCTGTGCGTGCTCACCTTGCAACGCTGGTGGGTAGCAGGAGGGTTTGCTCATGCCCGCAGCTCTGACGGAGGCAGATGAGCTCCTTGGAGACTGGATGCCTCTTTAGATCTGTTTTGCTGAGTTTCCCCATCCACAGAGACCATTTCGGGTGCAAATCCCACCTGGGTTCACACCAGGGCTCCTGGTAGCAGTGGGTTTGCAGACAAGGCTGATGCCAGCTCGGAGCCAAGCTGGGGCTGGTCTCCCTGAGCAAGCTAAGTCTCCAAAGCCCTAGGGTTAAACCAAACCCTCGCTAAACTCATGGTGTTAGTGACCGGGCTAGCTGGGGGCTGGAGCCGAGCTGCGCCCACGCTGTCCCAGCCCTTGGAGGGATGACATCGCCCCAGAGGACAGGGTGATGCTCCCAGGCAGAACTGCACATTACCTGCTTTGCACCAAAAATCCCACAGCTGCCACGCTCAGGGTCTCTTCCCAGCTCCCGGGGTGTCGCAGTGCTTGGGAAAGCCTCCCCTGTTGGGGCAGGAGGGGCTGGGGGAGGCCAGCTGCTCCGCAGCCCCCTCGGTGGTAGGATTTGGTGACCCAGCTGGCGGGATCCGGTGCTTTGTGCCTCCTAAACCTCCAGCTGATTTTGCTGGTGGGAAGGGCGGGGAGTTGGCTTTCGGAAGCGGTTTGATCACAGATGCTTTTGTCGGGTGCAAATCCCACCTGGGTTCACACCAGGGCTCCTGGTAGCAGTGGGTTTGCAGACAAGGCTGATGCCAGCTCGGAGCCAAGCTGGGGCTGGTCTCCCTGAGCAAGCTAAGTCTCCAAAGCCCTAGGGTTAAACCAAACCCTTGCCAAACTCATGGTGTTAGTGACCGGGCTAGCTGGGGGCTGGAGCCGAGCTGCGCCCACGCTGTCCCAGCCCTTGGAGGGATGACATCGCCCCAGAGGACAGGGTGATGCTCCCAGGCAGAACTGCACATTACCTGCTTTGCACCAAAAATCCCACAGCTGCCACGCTCAGGGTCTCTTCCCAGCTCCCGGGGTGTCGCAGTGCTTGGGAAAGCCTCCCCTGTTGGGGCAGGAGGGGCTGGGGGAGGCCAGCTGCTCCGCAGCCCCCTCGGTGGTAGGATTTGGTGACCCAGCTGGCGGGATCCGGTGCTTTGTGCCTCCTAAACCTCCAGCTGATTTTGCTGGTGGGAAGGGCGGGGAGTTGGCTTTCGGAAGCGGTTTGATCACAGATGCTTTTGTCTTGGTACCGTGACTCTCTGCCAGCTCGGGAGAAATTCCCAGCCTCCTCAGCCCAACATATGCCTGCAGCCCCCAGCTCGGAGAACGTTAAAGCGATCGACGGCTCCATGTCACAGCACGGCCAGGATCTGGCACATCGCCGTGGACATGCATCCCAAACACCGAGCCTGGGGGCTGTAAGGCAGGGGAAGGACCCCACGACCCCCTTGGGCTGCAGCAACAGGGATATCCCGGTTTGGTTTCTCCATTCCAAGTCTCCCCTCCCTCGTCCCAACAAAGCGGGTGGGTGGGATGCCGAGAGGCCTCCGCTCTCGCCGAGCCCAGATGGTACCGTCTGCTGTTCCAGAAGAATTCCCACCTGCCCACCCCTGCTCCCACCCTGCGTGTAACCGATTCCCTCGGTGGGTGCCTGCGCCTCCCGCGCCGGGGGCTCGCTGCAGGGAAGCCTGCGGCAGCAGATGGGGAGGATACCAGCCGCCCGAGGCACGGCCAGGGCAGACCTTGGGAGCCTACATGAGGATATGGATCTTATTTTTTAAACAACATTTTTTCCACTCCCTGCTTATCCCTTGTTACCAGGTAACAGAGACCCAGCACGTAAATACTGGGCAGGGAAAAGAGCTGCAAAGCTTCCATGCACCTCAGGAGGAAAAAAAAAAACAAAAAAAAACCAACCACCAAACCCAAACATTAAAACCTTCCTCCTCCAGTGGCTGCTGGTGCAAACCCCAGCTGGGATTTGAACCCAAGCTGGTATTTATTGTCTTCCTTTCCTCTCTCCATTGTCCCCAAGGAAGATGTACTGTCACGCTCCAACCAAGAGTCTGGCTGTAGATTGAAGCTTGCAATAAGCAGCCGCTTTCCCTCCTTTCCTCCCCACTTCCCTGGGTGAAGAACAGTTCGGCGACTGCCGTCACACACAGTTCATGCAGCAGTAGAGCTTGCGCGAGGGTCAGAGCAAGGGGAGGAGAAGGTCGGAGCAGGAAAACCCTTTTCTCCTCCATCCCTAAACAACCCAAACTGGTCTAGAGGTGCACCACAGAATTCGGGAGCAATTCTCCCAGGAGGGCCATGGTGGTACCTGGGTGGGGGGCAGTGGTTAAGCCCCGCTGCTCCCTCTGCTCTCTTGGGTGGCACGAGGCTCCGGGTGCGAAGGCGTCGAGGGTGCTGCAGCTCTGCG